TAAAATAATTAAAATAAAAGTAATCGTTTCAGTATTTTAAATAATAAATATGTACATCGCATTTTATCGATGTTGCATTTAACAATACAACGTGTAATAATTTCGAAGTTCTTTTTTTTTCCACGAGTGAATAATAAAACAGAAAACACCGTTCACGCAAAGAAAGACTGAAGAGATACTTAAGTGCACGTGTACTCGAACAGTTCGAAATCGATTCTCTCGAAAACGAAGCCTTATGCCTTATTCGTGGATGTACACTGTCACTACGAGTGCATTCCGTATGAAGATCATCGTATATTCGATGCAAAACGCACTCGGCTATTGGCAATTCGCTCTTCTATTCATTGTACTCTTCAAGTACTCGTTCGTTTTATTAAATTAATCTCTATAAACTGTTTTTTCGAAATTGTTTAAGAGAAAAAAAAAAAAAAAAAAAAGCTCGCTTGAATTATTCTATCTAATCTTCTGGTATCGATATAATATACGTTTCATTGCACAGAATCGTACAAGGAAATATCTCTAGTGAAGAAGTCGTGATGAATTTTTTATTTATTTATTTATTTATTTATTTATTTTTCGATGGAAAGTGAAATCTTTAAAATGTAAAAATTTGTAAAGTTTCGTACGCTTTATCAATTATCGAGATTATAAAAATAAAGATAAAAAGCTGATCAGATAGAACAACTAGTGACATCTAGATAAGAAGAGTGTACTATTTTTGGAACGATGCTAATTGCAATATTCTTGTTGCACGACATACTGATATATATATAATTCTCCACGATTCAAACACGTACTTTGTTATGACTAATAAAGTATACAAAAAAAAAAAAATTCTTAGATATTTCTTAATAATTTTCTTATTTAGAAAAATTTATCAATATCGAATATGTTAAAAGTTAATTTCTTCTAAAAATTGTTCTCCTGTTAATTACATTGTGACATAATGAAATTTACTAGATTTCTATCACGCCAAAAAAATCAATGACACGAACGATCAATCTTCCACGAATATATTAAAAAAAAAAAAAAAAGACAACGTAGGTAAAAGTGAGCCGATTCGTACTCGTCACGAGTGTGCAACGTATTTATTAGCATGTACCGACACTTCAACCTCGTAATCTCGTTACCGCGGTCTCTTACATAAAAGAAATGCACTGGTGCGCGATGACGTTGGCTCGCGGTTCCAAGAAACGACCGATTAATCAAACGTGGATCTTCGCACCCATACTGTCCTCCTTCGATGATCCCAAGGCATTTCGATCGAATGAAATTGTTCGTTAACTATCCCGTAAGAGTTATAATATTCTACGCGATATTACACGCGATGCGATAAAAACATTTAACCTAACCTCTATCGAAGCGTCGCATTTTTCTTGCTTCTGCTTTGAATTGAAATCTTATTTTCGCTTATAAGTTTCGAAGTTCTTGATATTTAAGAATTGGAAATTCTGTCTTTTTCTTTTTTCCCCCTTTGTATCGAAACTCTTAATTTAATTTAATCTAACCTAATCAAGCGTTGCGTTTCTCTTGTTTTCGTTTACGTTGGATCGAGAATATAGAAATAGGTTGATTTTTTTTTTTTTAAAGCGAATAGAAAATATGAAAATAGATGGATAATATGCATAAGTAAACACGTGGAATTGATAAAAATCCGTAAAATCGAAAATTATTCCGATGAGCAAACGTTTTTTACGTCGAATATTTTAGGTTATCTTCTTGTCGAAAATAAATTGTGTCTTGTATACCGAGGTTCGAAATTTGCGCTTCAGGGATCTCTTCAGGCCTCGTTAACCACATCCAAACTTTACTTTGGTGTTCTAAGTTTGCAACATTAACTGACGTGCATGACGACTAAAAAGATGATCAAATTCCAAGACAATGTTAGGATGGTACGTGAACTTTGCGTTAATAAAAGCTCAGAATGATATTTATTGACAGTGACGGAATGTCTAAAACGAGGAACCGAATGAATTTTCATGCTTTTTCGATTATTTTTGGAACAAAGTTTATCAGAAACTACGGAGAATCGAGTAGTAATCGTATAATAATATAATAATTGAGTATATCACTATTTGAATTTATAATTAATTTGTATATTTTAATAATTAAAAAAATAATGTAAAAAAAGAATTTTTTATCATTTGTTAATCGATTAATTATAAAATATTAAAAAAGTTTCATAGTGTTCTATTAATCAGTGAGATTTAAAAATTCTAGTGTAGCGTAATCGTGTATATATTATATAGAAAAGATTATGGATTTCATTAATAATTAAATTAAATAATATAATGAAACGACGTTACGAGTTTCCACACTTTGAATAGAGCCTTGTTGATTACTTGATTTAGCATATAGTATTTTTTATTTGGAACATTTCATCGTACGTAATTGTATTCAATTTCGTTTTTACACACAATGACTTTCTTTAATAAAAGGAACAGGAAACACGATGGATTCATGGATCGGATTAATTGTATTTATAATTTCATTATGGGTTAATTAAACGTAATTGCGTTTGAGATATTTGTATGGTTACAATTTTATTAATTATGATATGTATTTAATATACGAAATACGAATCCCTCGTTTTATGAATTTTATAACACTCTTAAAAATTTAACATATTCAAATTTAATTGGTGAAAAAAAGAAAGAGCATATTAACATTCAAATATTTTTAATTTGTATATTTAGTTGCACTAACAAGGAAATATCGGTAAAAGTTAAACGTCAATTTTATACACGACAATCAAACCTAACCTAAACCACTCCTCTTATTCCTTCTATTTAAAATCGTTTAAATTTAGTGAGAAAATAGTTTAAATAAAAGTTATATTTCTAAAGGATTATAAATCTATGGAAAGAATGAATAAAGAATACGACAGAATTCTCAAATAACCTAAAATTCTCGAAAGTTGATACGACGATACGAAATTTTATTATTACTCACCAATCTTCGATGTTTTCTTATTTCATAGTACAATTATTTTGCATTTTAACTCGATTAATAATCCCTCACTGATAAACTATTCGTTCACTTAACTACAAATAGAATTTTTTTACTCGTTTCACGTGTCACCATATACTGCGCAATACCGTTTTAACGAGTAACACTGATCGTCCAAATCTCGATACGCGTATCTATCGATTGTTACCCGAGTTCGACTATCGAAGCGAAGTAAATAATTTCACGGTTGGCTCGATGTAGTCTGGCCGCTCCAAAAAATTCCTTCAACGAGAAATTATCGATGGAACTTGTTGCGAGTAAATTCGACTTCGGACGCGAGAGAAATCTTTATCCACGCGAGACGGCGAGAGATCGATAATCGAGCGCGTGCACGGCTCGTATTCATCGGCCATGAGGTTTTAATTGACACTCAACTGTCGCGTTTCTCCGTCACGTTTCATCACGTTTTAGTGTTTCATTTTTATTCGTTTATTCTTTTTTTCTTTTCTTGATTTTTGTTGATTGAAGAATAAAGGAAATGAGCGTGGAAATTTCATAAGAATTGTGTTTGGTGTTTTTTTCATTGTTCGATACATCTAAGGATGAACAAGGTTAGAATTATTAAAAATTATTTCTACATATTCTAATTTTATGATTAAGAATTTTTTATTACATTTTATTCTCATAATTTAAAATTTTTGTAAATATATATGAAGATACTAGTAAATGATATGAAATTAAAATATATGCAATTGTATTTTAAATAATAAGATGAAAATGAATGAGATGTATGAAATTTTGTGAGATATATTGAGTGTATAACGTACGTTAGAACACACTATTACATACTATAAAGGTATTAAAAATTCTAATGAGACTTTTAATGAGACTTTAGCATTTGATATAAATTTACTTGCTCGTATTTTTTTTTTTTTTTTTTTTTTTTTTTTTTTTT